TCAGTAACAGAGGAGAAGACACTGAAATATTGACCCCATTTCTGTAAAAGAAAGCTCTCTTTAGATAAACTAGATGTTGTTTGTGGAAAATACCAACTGACCAGTGCTGGACTGACATTGTGAGTGTGTGTGTGTGTGTGTGTGTGTGTTATATATGTCTATAATCCTCTCTCTCTGTGGGCGGTTGCCTGCTGCACTGCTTTTCTGTCACCCTGTGGTTTTGTTATTTTCAGCTTGAAACCGGATGTGATTCAGACTGCATGGTAGATTGTGTAATTGAATGGACTAACCACACACATACACACACACACATGTGCACACACACATATACACACATATATGCTTACGCACACACACACACACACACACACACACGCACTTATGTCGATGAACAAAACACACAGTGCAATCACACACACACTCGCACACACACACACATACAGAGTTATGTAGTTCTCAACACCCACACACTGAGGGTTTCTGGGAATGGTGCTGGGTTCCCCCTGTTCACAGAGGCGCCCGAGGGTGAGCGAGCGGACGGTATAGAGCCACCAGCAGTAGACAAATGCGCGCTTCTTAGTTTCAGTATTGGTCTGAAACATCAGTTGTTGACCTGGCTGACACTGAGATCGGAAAAAAGGATAAAACGAACACACGCTTGTGCTCTGTGGAAACAGAGGGACGGTTGAAAGTGGGGAAAAACACTGAGAAGTGCTAGTGAAACTCATAATAAATGTCAGTTTCTGCCTTCTGCCAAAAATTTTTTAAACTGCACTATGCAGATAGAGTTACTGTCAGAAAAGATAAGATAAGAATAGATTTAAAAAAAAAAAAAAAGAAGATAATCCTTATTTTGATTGTGAACATTTTCATTCATGAATGTTTTGGGGTGGGTGGTTTTGTGTTGCAGGAAATTTACAGATTTCTTTTTTATTTTTAATGATGTTAGAGAATTTAGCTTTGCAGAAATGTGTGAATTCATGATTAAACAGAGAAAGAAGTGAGGACTTCTCTCAGGCTGACAGCGCTTTGGTACATGTGACGTGATGCTCTAAGTGATGTGATGTATGTGACTCAGTGTGAGTGTCTGCAAGCAGCAGCAAACAGCGACTTGATTCTAGGAAAAACTTTGGACCGGAGAAACTGAGAAAACGATGGTCCTACGTCACATAAGCTACCACAGTAATGTGTGTGCTGCAGGTGCTTGAACACTGACAGGATGCTCTGCTTCCTCCTACATCCTCCTCAGGGTGCCCCGTGCTAGGTGGTCTTGACAACAGCAGGCGCAGGTTTGTACCTGCAAAACAGAAAATTGTAGAGAATCAACTGAAACCTTATTTAACCATATATATAATATTATATATATATAACATTTTTTACTTCTATAGTACTAATTATGATGTCTATAATGGCTCAACCATGATATGATCATGTTAGCATAAGGCATGCTGAAGGCTACTTTACAGTAGTAAACAGGAAACAGTCATTTAATGACAGTGAATTTATACTTACTGTGGGGATATTGTAACTGTAAAATAAAACACAATAAGTTTTCTGATAGTTGATTACAACAATAACATCGCCCTACAGTCATTCCTGTAACACTGAAGTATTACTGAAGTTTCAGTAAATTATCGCAGGAAGTCAAATCCTCAACAATTATTTATTGTTCATTTTAAACAGTAACAGGTATACTGTCTTATTCACAGCGTGCTCAGGGACTGTGCATGGTGCACCATGGTAACGGGAATCATAATGGCCTTTTTCCATATAGTAGGAATATCCGCGGTGAGCAACCATCTGGTTTTCCACATCTAATCGAACGGTTTTCCGAGTGTTGTCAGACGAGATGTTGAAGGTTCATCAGGAGAAACTCTCAGCTTTTCAGCTCTTTTACCAATCCTCTTTTTGCAATATGTAGAACTGATCTGCTGACCAAACAGCGCTGTGTACACCAGTCACTAACAATATTACAGAACCATAGGTGTGTTTTGTTTCGTAACAGGCTTGTATTAGCTTTGATTCTATACGGATTTCATCTTTAATCCTACAGCACATGCACCAAGTACAGCTTTAATCTCCTGGAGATCACAACTCTACATGCTTTAGGCCACTCAGTGAATTCAAAGTACAGTAGAGAGTAAAACTATTTGTACAATCAGCTCAGCGACATATGACATGGTTCTTTGGCCCTTGGTAACTATTCCAAACATTTCCCCCTAATGAGAACCTTTTCAACCGGAGTGAAGGAGTCTCATCAGAGTCATTTCTCCGTTGACACTACAGATTTATCACAAAGAAATTTAATGTGGCCGTCAATAAAATGTTGTTGAAGATGATCTCACCGAATGGAAGCCTTTAAGTGTTTAAGTTTATCATGAAAAATGATATTGCAGTGGTGTTAAATGTGTTTAAAAGGACTGACTCCGTCATGAGATCACACTTGAAAGCTCTCGTGAAAAGACTGTTGGCCGCTACTTAACAAACTGTAACATATGTTATTAGTCAACAGGCTGCGTCAGAGTATCTCATCTACTGATCTCCTCCTCAGTGAAAGTCTCATGTTATTCTGTCCAGTTATTTATATGTATATTTAAACAAAAACAAAAAAAAAATCTAAATTTGTTCCATGTTTTAGGAGTCGCCTACATTTAATTTGAGATAAGTTCAGTCATACTAGAACCAAAACAGGAAGTCCAAATGAAAAAGGAAATCAAATGAAGTTCCAGAGAAGATTTTTGTTTCCTGAGAAAATGTTTGTGGTTTTATGCAAGAACGTGCACAACACCAAATAATAATTGGTTCAGTGCTATTATGCTTTTATTAGACAATAACTGGAGCTCAACTGGTGCATGGATATATTTCTTGTCCCCTCCTATACACAAGAGTGGGAACCAATCTGAACAGAGACTTCAATGCGGATACATTATGTCATGTACTGTGTGTTAGAAGCACAGGAAGCAATACAGGATAAATAATGGCAGTGTATTGCAAACCAGATCATTGCAAGTCAGTATTGTATATGATGCATTTGATTTTAGCTGGCAGACACGTGCTTCATCTTGAGGAGTCACGTGTTGATCTAAACGCTGTTTCACCCTGACGAGACAAGAAAAACATAATGACGAGGCTCTGTATTTTTTTTGGAAACATTTACTCATGAAATCATTTAAATGTGAACTATCATTCATATCACTTGTGGAAAGTTTAGAGCTTAAAAAACACAGGAAGTTGAATCTAAGTGAAATTTAACTGACTCACATTTTTAATGGGGACATTCTGAGTCGGGGTGTTCCAGGCCCCGGGAAGCACATCCCTCTGTTTGGTGCTACAACAGCGCTGGTTTATAATGGTTCTTGACAGCAGATGGTGCCACAGTGTAGTAGGGGTGGTGGTGGTGGTGGTGGTGGTGGTAGGGGGGGGCATTACTTTATTTGACGCAAAGTCTCCAGGCCGTGGAGACAAAGTTAAAGACTGATGTAGAAGTTATGAGGAACCAAGCGCGGATTGGCTGCAGCGTGCGCCCAATGAAAGTCAGGCGGTGCAGGAAAACAATAGTCCTGAAGGTCCGTGTGAAGTCAAGGCTATTTTTGGTGGGACCCGCCTTGCCTGCTATTTCTGTCAGCAGGAGAACGGAGGGGAGGGGGCAGGACTGGAGGGGCCGGACTTTCTTTTTTCTGCAACTTGCCTCCGATAAGTCTCGTTTCTTTTCCTCCTCTTCTGCACTGTCTTCGCTGACAACACCAGCGGATCTCTCCATCACCTCCCGTCGGGGTTGTTTTTTTTTTTTCGCTCTTGTTGAGCGCGCCACACTCCTCTCCATATTAGCTGGATTTTAAATTCAAGTGCTTCGGACTCGGGCTGCGTCAAGAGGCTGTTAGGTGTTAACGGGTTCTGTCGTGCAAGGTAGGCGACACTGGTGGTGACAAAGGTCTGAACGAAGTGAAATAAATGTCCTTTACTTCTTAAAAGTGCAGTTTTTCATATCGGAGTTTTGAATTGCGCAGGAAAGAAACGGTGCTAAGCTACCTGCGCAGGTGTTTGTTTGTTTTAATTGCTCACGAGCGCTCAAAAGTGCGTCAAAACTTTATCATACAGTAAACTGAAGAACACAGCATTTCTATACAGTTCATTAAACAGAATATTTATCATATGTTTTTGTTTTCATGGTTATTTCATCGCTGTTGTTGTCGCTGTTTTATCACAGACACCAGGTTCCTAAAAGGATATTATAGAAACAGGCGAACAGATAGATCTGTGGTCAGGCAGGATAAAGTCACTCTAACACAGAGCGCTGTTGACACTGAGGAAATATCTCATTTCTTCCTGAACACAAACATGAAACTGTTTGATCTCTGTGAGCCACAAACTTTGAATTCTTATCAGCTATTTCTGAGATATTATTCAAATATGTATTTATTTATTTTTCATTTTTGTCCCTTGTGTGTTGGACCCTATGAGGTTTTTTGCTGCTGAACAGATGTTGGCCAGCATTGGAGTTCAGCAGCCACACACACACACACACACACACACACACTCAAAGATTATTTAAGATTATTTATTGGAAAGAGTTTTTAAAGGCACTACTTACTGACTTCTGTTTCATTTGAGTCTGTTTTATTTTCCTGCTGCTATGCACATTTTGTGATATTTATATCCAGATATGGGTCACAAATTAGACCTGACAGGCGGGTGTTACATCACAGGAAAAAGCTCAGATGGTGCCCAGCCACACCCATCAGGTGGCCAGGTTCTGCTCACACAAACCTTTAAGGAGCATTAAGTCATCTCTGACTTTTATTTGCCTCTGTTGGCTGCCAGCAGGAATTGCAACAACTTCTCTGGAACAGATTAGGGTGGCCTGCTACTGACATGTTAACGTCTGAAAGGAGAAGTTTAGATAAGAAAAACATGCCATTCTTACCTGCGTTATTCATTCGTTATTGTTGTTGTGTATGAGCTGCATTTCACTCATTTATCTTTCTCTTTTACATCCGCAGATGGAATCAGCTCCTCTGGGAACATCATAAAGACAAACAGACACGACAACGTATTTCATACAGTGGCAGGTAGGACTTTTAAATCTTTTAAAGAAACTCTACTAAATACTGACTTAATAAGTAGTTGTGTTGTGGGTCGGTTACATTTTACACAAACTTGTTAAAGTTAGGCCACGGCCGCCCATCTGCTCCGAAACATTCATGTGGAAAAATGCTGCCAGTCTACAGTCAACCAACCCCCTCAGGACTACATCTTGTCCTTTTTACAGCACACACACACACACACACACACACACACAAGCACATTACACACTTTGGGTGACAGCAGTTTTTCCAGTGCAGCGTACAGAATGATCTAATCTGTTTGACTCTCAGAAAACTGCAGTGAAGTACAGAACAGGTGTTGGCCTAGTTGGAGAGACGCACTCGAGGCCGCTGTGTTTTTCATGTGTGGGTTTAGAAATGTGGTTTTTGCTGCAGGTCAAGTGTAGTGCGTGTGTGCAAAAACATGTGAAAGGTAACGTTCGCGTGCCGTGTTCAACATATTGTAACGCTGAAAAAAAAAAACAAACATCCAGTTGCAAGTTTTTTTAAATGTCAGTTTTAACTAGAGTTGCTGGAAATGTAAGAATCTGCCAGTGGGGCCAATACGTGGCACAGTTGTAGGATTCACTTCACTTTTTTCAATTTCACTTCCATGATTGTGTCATCAACATCTGAAATTATCCAAACGTATCTCCTACCAGCGATTTCCACTGATATTGTAGCGTTTTCTGAGCGTGGTCGTGGTTAGACGACGAAAACACCGGCAGTGACTGTATGATGCAGGATGTGAACTTGAGTCAACTCTTTATACTTAATAAAATATAAAAGACTTAGATGGGCTTGTTAGAATTTCAGAAACATCACCGCAGCTCAGTTTGGCTCGTGCTGACTCACAGGGGAAACGCTCAAACATCGCTTCTTCAGCCGGAGGTTAAAATGTATTTGATGCACTGCTCCACTCGTCAGAAACAAAGTCACCCGGCTGTTTCTTTGTCTCCTGCCTTTTTAGTTTAGATTAGCATTCTCCACTGTGAAGCATGGCTGTGTGATCACACTGTGTAGGATTACAATGCATGACTCTCTGAATGGAAGCCGGGTCTCGCTGTGCCAGGCTCCGCTGACTGTATGCTAACCAAGGAGCCACTATGTGCCCTGTGTATGTATGTGTGTGTGTGTGTGTGAGTGTGTGTGTGTGTGTGTCTGTGGAAAAACCCAGTGAGGTCATGGCCGTGGCTGCAGGGTCTGGTTACATGTGTGTTGTCCACACAGGGCAACTGACACTGGCTCTCTCTCCTTTGTCTTCCTCTCTAATCTCTCTGTCTTTACCCACATGTAACTTCACATTAAAGCGTTTTCGAGCATCGTACCCTGACGCCAGGTGTCTCTGAAGCTGGAGACGGGTTAACACTCTTAAGGTGGCAGCAGCAGTCTTTACCAGATGTGTAAAACACGTGAAACCACCTTTTTTTTTTCTTTTTTTTTTTTTTTAAAAAAAGCCTCTAGAGCTCAAACAGCCCTTTAAACTACATAGGACTCCTATAATTGACCTGCAGGGCACAATGATTACTTGTGGAGTAACCCTAAAACTCATTTCTTTTACACACACACACACACACACACACACACACACACACACACACACACACACAAGATAAATCCCCAAGTAGAAGCGCTGTCTACCAGTGTATCTTAGGTATTTCCCATAGCGAAGACCTGAGGAGATCCTGCGTCCAGGGATTATGCACCATGCAGACAAGCTGTGAATCTTTTATAAAACCATGAAAACTCTTATCCTGCACATTTGAATCATATTCCAGCAGTTTCTCCTGCATGCAGCTGTCTTCTCTACACACACACACACACACACACACACGTGATCTGCATACATACACAACACACACTGTATATAATGATTCCATGGACGGAGACATACGTTTTTTTCATATCTTGGTCGATAGGTTGGTTATTGTTAAGGAGTTATTCTGAGGTCACACTCACAAGTCACAAGATGTAGTGTTATAAATCTTGTTTTCCTCGTAACAAGCGAAAATATCTGCTTAATATGTTGAGGTTTCTGGTGCTTTTATTTGAATGAGCAGATGTAAGATCACATTGAAAGTCAAGCCAACTCTGTATAATCATATTTCAACACTTCCTTTTGGTCCGTCCAGTGCGCACACGTACTCTACATTCTCTCTTTCAGTCTATTTTACGACTAAATATTTGTACGTCTTTCGCTCTGTCCTCTTCGGCTCACTCAACAGAGCAGGGAGAAACTTCAGGGACAGATAACAACAGGCACGATTGTAGTAGCTGCAGCGGAGATCACGTATCCTCTTCCTCGTCCCGGTTTCCAAGCACTGGGGTCAGCTGATCCGGGTGCTGTGCTTGACGCTGGGTGGAGGAAGAGTTAGTTACAGTAGACGGAGTGGGAATTGATGGGAAGGTGAAATGAGAGAGGATGTGCAGTGAAGTTTCACTATCAGATCATCTGTTGATTATAACCAAAATGAAAAATATTAAC